GCTGAAATGCTGGAGCTGTGCTGCAGCCCCAGCTCGGAGCGATAGGAGTTAGCAGTTTGGGTTGGATTTTGGGGGGTTGTTTGGGTTGGTTTTTGCCTTTTTTTTTTTTTTTAATGCCAGCATGGTTGGTGTAACTAATTCCATGAAGGACCCTGCAGACAAACATTCCCTTTTCCAGTGTAAAGCCTCCTGCAGTTGCAGCCAGCTCTTACCTCTCCATTCTCCGGGCATCTGCAGACCACAAAGTCCCTCAGATGCTGCAGCTCCTCCCCATTGCTGCCAGCTCCACTCTGCTGCCCACATGCCCCAAACCCCCCAAACTGTGATGCCAAACGTGCCAGGGCCACGCAGAGCTGTGTTTTTTCCAGCCCTGCTCCTGCTGCTGGGGCAGGGTTGGCTTTGTGTGGGATTCCTGCCTGTCACCGAGTTTTTTTCTTCCCTCCTCTTTGTTCATCTTTTAGGTCTGAGCCCTCCAGAACAAGGAGCTTTGTCTCTGCTCTGCAGCAGCCTGTCCTGCCTACTGTAATGTCACAGCCCTGCAGCTGTCAAGGTGCTAAAATGAGAACAGGGGCACTGCTGAGGGATTTTTGGAGGGCACAAACTGTTGAGAGTGGTCCGGGCTGCCAGCAGGATGGAGTTAGAACGCCTTAAAGTCTCTTCTTGCACACCATTACAGTAGACCTTTTGGGAGCAACACTTTTCATAATCATCCAAATTAGTTCTGGATGCCTTGATGGGTTTGCTGGGTGACTAATGTCTATTTGTCATGGTCAGGACAGAGCCATGGCCTTTCACAGCACCCCCCACTGCAGTGTTTTCCCCCAGCTGCTGCAACCAGCGGTGGAGGTTCAGCCACCAGAGCACATCAGACTCCACTCGAGTGGCCTTCGTGAGCCCTGGCTTCGTTTTAAGGAAAAAAACCCACAATTTAGCTCAGAAAAGTGGAGTGTTTTCTCTTAAGAGAGGAAATGTCCCCGTCGGTTTGTATTTCAGACTTCACAGTTGCGACCTGATTTCCTTCCTCAAACTTCTGCAGGGTGAGGGTGGGGGAACTGCTTTGGCTTGTGCAACTCGATGCCACTTCCCTATTTTAAATGGGGATTTTAAGGAGTGCAGCCCTGGGGTGGGGGGAGCAGCTGTTCTCCCTCCCTGATATTTTTACCATAATCCACGAGCTGTTTCCTCCAACCGATTGCCCCTTTTCTGGCAGAGGAGAGATTGTAAGACACTCAAATTAATTCATAAAGCTACAACTTTTAGGAATAGTCTCCCTGTGCTGCTTTTCTGCCCCTTCTAGATAATACTAACAATTTTTTTCTTCTCATCTGCCATTTTTTTCTGATCTGGGATATGTGAAAGCACCGAATGAATTAATTTAGTCACGTCAGCTTTACCCCATGTTGAAGGACCTGAATATTGAGTGTGCTTCTAGTCAGTGCCACCCAGCTGATTAATAATATCCTCAAATTCACCTTTTTGGCTGACTTTTTATAATAAAACACAACCCAGAGTTTCCAAAGTTGTTAGTGTGATGTGTTGCTCAAGCAGAGTCGGAAGGGATTATGAGAAGGATTTAATTTCTTGAAGTCGGACCGAGTTAATTTTAAGCCGTGTATCAGCACTTGAGGTTTATTTAAAATCCTTTGCTAATTAAAAGATTACAAAATAAATAAATCCCCAAACCTGGGAGTATTAGGGCAGCCTGCAAACGCACCCCTTTGGCAGCAAAGCTGCAAGCCTTGTGGCAGAGGAGTCTCTTTTAAAAGGAATTGTGTTTAGAACCAGGGAATTTGGTCATTTTACAGGCTGGCAGGGGTTTTTTTCATACCCTACCACAAGCTTCCTGGTCTTTCCCTTTTGGCAAAGCCCCCAAAGTGTTGTTTTTAGAGCTCTTGTGTGCACAGCTTGGTCCTACACAACACCAGGAGCGGGGATCCCCGGCTGCAGAGGAAGCCTGAGACGTAACCTGCACGGGCAGCGTTGGCAAAGCCAGCTCAGAGAGGTGGTGAGGTGACACATCCGAGGTGAAAGCAGCTCATTTCTGCCCCTGAGGGGCAGGCTGGGTCAGGCCCTGGGGTGCTGACCCAGGTTGTTGCCCTCTGAAGGGTCACACTTCCCAAGGGGAGCGCCGGGGTTCGGAGCGGGGCGGGCGAAGCGCCCGCAGGAGCTTTGCCCAGGGGAGCTCTGGCTCTGGGTTTCATGTTCAGGAAAGCACTGGGGTTTCTTTTCCTCTGCCCTGCCAAGATGGGTTTGTTGTCTCTGACCACAAGTCAGTAGCTTCTCTGAAAGGGGGTGGACTTCTCCTCGCCGAGCTGCAGCTCCCAGCGGCGCCGCAGCCTTTTATGGTCACCCCTTCTGCCTCTCTGAGTCCTTGTTTATTCTCATGGTGCTGTTTTAACTGCCCTTTCTGTGCTCTTTGTGGACCCTGGTGAGCAGCTGAGGGGGTCCAGGCAGAAGGGCCGTGCCTGGGTTGATGCTGCTGGGCTCTGCATCTCCCCAACGTTGTGTTCCTCTGGGGAGCTGTCGTGTTGTGACAGGCAGTGTGACATCTCCTGCTCTCACTTGCACTCTGCTTCCTGGGCCCTGTAAATTCTGGTGACTAAACATGCTTGAAGTTGCTGCATCACCCACGCTGCTTCTAAATAACATCTCATTTTCCCCATCCTTCCTCTGTCTGCTCCCTTGGTAGAAATGTTTTTTCCTATGTCACTAGCAACATCCAGGCAGAAGAAGGTTTTACAGATGATGCAGACAAGCATCTTTTCACCTGTAGATATTTCTGCTCAGCTTGGTTTAAATTCTCCCTTGTGCATCTGCAATTTCTTCTTGATCCAGAATTCTTCTCCCTCTGGGCTCTGGCCTGAGAGATGTACAAGAGGTGTGCACTGTCCTTGCCCAAACCAGCCAGGCCTGAGCATCCATCTCAAGCTCCTCAGCTTGCTGACAAGACTTGAGTGCTGTGACAGCTCAGTGAGGAGATGGAGCTTTCCTCTGGCTTTCTGCTTTGCCTGCTGAGAGATGGAGCCTTGCTCCTCGTGGCTGTGCTGGTCCCTTCTATTTTGGGGCAGCAGGAGCTCCCACGGAGCCTCTGTCACCTTGCAGCCCTGGGAGCAGGAGTCAGTGAGCTGAGGAGGTAGAGGATGGGTGGTGTGAAGCCCCAGCTCCCTGGGAGAGGCTCAGAAGCAGGTGGTGGCCTTGGCTGTCACAGGCTGCTGCTGCTGCTCAGGCTGTTCAGGTTCAGCTTGATCAAAACTGAACTTTGTGGTTTCATTTGTTCAAATTGATTTTTTTTTTTCCCCTTTTTTTTGCCTCCCTCCAGTAATAAATTACTGTAAAAACTCTAAACTAAGCTGACAAGTGCTAGTGCAGCCTGCAAATCATTACCATAGGTAATACTAGAGGATTCCTCTGAGCCCTGCCTAGGAGCCAGAGCAGGTAGTCACGAGTGTCTTGCAGTATTAGTTGTATTTTTGTTTTGATTTAACCCTGTGTTTGTGTTCAGCCTGTAACATGACTTCTGAAATGCATTTGTGTGCATCCGCTCAGCACGGTTCCCTTTTTAATTAGATACATTAAAAAGGATGGGCCATACATGGCAATGGGATGGATCAATTTTTTTTTTAATCCTATTTCACATTATGGCATCCAAGGGGGATTACACAGACTGTAATTTTTGAATGCCTGGTTTACAGCTTTTCATCTGCAACACTTCCACTTCTAATAATACCAAAAGCATTTGAATCACTGAGCCAGTCCTATTTTTTTTTTTTTAAACCTAAATTGGGCCATTTAGGAAATAGGGGTGGGTTTGTTTCTGTAACTTAGCCTGGGTGTGTATCTTGTTTTGTTGCTAGTCGAGGTCTTCAGGTCAGTGGTCTTCAAAAGCCAGGATCCAGCATTATTCTGATCCTTTGCACAGAAGACAGGGTTGAATAGGAACAGCCTTCTGCAGGGACAGGGGTGGGAGGCATATATTAGGAGATAGAATTGGGGAACATTATCACCAAATGCCAGCAGTGAAATGCCAGCCATTTCTTCTGCATGTTTAAACAGGAAAGCAGAAGATCCCATCCCAGACCTCTCCCTCCTGTCTCTCCTCTCCCATTGCTCATGGAAAGGCCATCGTGGCATCCCCTGGAAGCAGAATCCCTGGGAGTGGGACCCAAAGGGTTGTTTTTATCTCCTTTCACAGGGAGGAAACTGGGCTATTGGGTCCATCAGCAGCCTGGGGGGTGAGGTGCTTCAGGCTAAGGGGTTCCCTCACCAAAACCTCAAGCCAGTTGGCAAAGTTGGTGTCTTCACAACAACTGCATCAGCCCTGCTGGGTTTGTCTCGCTTCAGATGGGAACATCTCACAAGCTTGTCTGCTTGGGAAGTTGATCTGTGTAGTGAGCTTGGCTTTGGCAGCGTGCTGGTGGCCCACCCTTGGTCCTCCAGCCACAGAGGAGCTGCTGTGGATGAAGGGTGGGTGGCTGGGACAGGATTTATTCCTGAAAACAGGATTTTTACTTTTCACAACTGCGTCTTAGAAACTTTCCACCTAAGCAAAATACTTCTATGATGAAAGCAAGCAGACTTGGTCAATTCAAGGGCCAGCAACACCCTTCAATTTAAATTCTGGCTTGGTTATCTTTAGCTGTTGCTGGGCATGGTTGTGAAGCACAGACAAGACCAGAGCTTCACTGGTGGGGCTGGGAAGTGCTGGGGATGGACAAAGGGACAGCGTCACTGCAGATGCTGAGATGGGGCAGCAAAGCACCTCTGCATCTGCAGGGAGCAAAGAACCTCCTGTGCCAAACCTCTGACCCCTCTTCTAACAGCATGAGGAGTTTCCAGCTCGTTGGTGCTGGAGAAGAGTTGCTGGTTTGTTTTCTCTACCATGAGAATCACGAATCCATGAGATGATTCAAATCTCCTGAAATTGTGAGTGCTGCAAGAGTTAATGGAGAGTTAGGAAGCATCTGTTCTGAGGTGTGCTCCGTGCTGCTTGTGGATTACAGCTCTGTTTCTTCCTTCTCTCCTTCAGACAGGCAGGATTGACAAGTCCTACCCAACAGTGTGTGGGCACACGGGACCCGTGCTGGACATCGACTGGTGTCCTCACAACGACCAGGTCATCGCCAGCGGCTCCGAGGACTGCACTGTCATGGTAAGGGCATCTGGTGGGCCTGCAGGGTTGCTTCATGCTCAAAATGCTGCTGCACATGGCCCTGGTGTTGCTGGAGACATCTCCTCACACACCGAGGAACAAGTGCCATGGAGCCTGGAGGTTTGAGAGTGGTCGTGGGTGTTTTTTCTCAGCGTAAGAAATGGTGTTGGCTGCAGAACCTGGCTGCAAACTGGAGCACAGCCAGAGTGAGCTTCAGTACCTGCCTTGGCAGCAGAATTTGGACTTTCACAATTGGGACTTGCTTCTCACATTACTGTTTGAGAAGGTGCAACCTCAGACTTCTAAGAATCTCTTCAGCACTGAGGTGGCACTTCACGTCACGGACTTGGCCTGTGTCTTCCTGGCTTTGTCTTCAGTCTTTCTTCTATTTTGCCTTCCCTTGGGGATTTAGTTGATGTTTGGGAAGAGCAGAAAGAGGAGGGCCAGTTAGTGGTGAGGTGTTTTGATTTGAAGACAGAGGTGGCTCCTTACCTCAAATCTCCTAATGGATGCAGTGGTACTTGTCGGGCAGAGGTGGGGAATTGGAGGGGAGCAAGCCCATCAGGTTTCAGAATTGCTTCAGCCCTTGATGTAAGAGTGACCTGTCACAAGGGCTTTTTTAACAAATAAATTAAAAAATAATCCAGATTCTGCACCTGCCAGCCTTGGTCCTGAGACCTGTTTTACCTCAGACAGAGCCCACTGCACAATTAGACGACCTTGCTCCGTGATGGATGTGGAATCCCGTGTATGCAAACACAGCAGAATAAGTGAAAGAAAATCCTTGTAAGATGAAATAATGCCAAATAACTTCAGTGATCTTTGGCCATATTTAGAAATGCTGTAGGCTGAATGTTATATTGAAATCTTATTATAGATCATGTCAGATAAATTCCTTTGCTTCTGTTCGGCGTTCAAATGTTTGGGAGGGGATTCATCCCGAGAGGCTTATCCACAAGCTCTTGCTTGTGATCTCTCAGTCTTGGAAGCTGAAGCATGTTAACAAAATGTACTATATTTAATATTAAACAAAACAACAAGCTTCTGTGTTTGCAACATTCACTAGAACTGAGCTTTGAAGGATGCAGGGATGTTCCTCTAGAAACCAGGATCCGGAAGGGCTGCCAGCTGGAAGGAATGGTCTCTGAAACGTGAGCATCAACAGGAGCAGGTGAAGCTAAGGTCCAAAGCTGCCTTTTTGGAGGCAAAATATATCTCTAATCCAAGTGCAATGAGAACCACGTTGTGAGGCTCCAGAGGGATGGAATTATTTAGAGAAACTAACAGCACTGATGCTCCTGATGTAGTGAGAACCTGAGCCTGCAGCTGCTCAAACAAGCTCCGTGGGGTGTGGGTTTGTGGTGGGTTGTCTGCTCACCCTCCTCTCCATCCCTGGAGGCAGCACACGTGTGGGCAGGCAGCATGGTGTAGCTGGGATCCTAAATCACTTGGGACAGTTGTTAACTGGCTTGGCCAGAGCTTGGGTGTGTAAAGAACAACCCTTGCCTGGACTATTTGGAAAAAAAATGGATGAGCTAATGAACCTTCCCATTTTTAATTGCTTTTCTGTCCTGGCACGGGTAATTTAGCATCCTGTTTTCTTTGCTTTTCTTCAGTAAAGGTTTTGGAGTGCTGCTTCCTGAACAGCCTGTCACTGAATAAACTCATTTGGCTTTAAAGGATATGTGGCCCTTGATCAGCTCTCAACTCTTCGTTAGCCAACGTCCAATGAGAAAAAGTGACGTGGCAGAGGAAATCATGTGGCTTTCTGCAGAAGTGCCAGCTGCTTTTAAAAAAAAAATACCATATGTTTTTAAAGACCATCTGTGCCTTGGCACTCGAGGATTTAGGATCTTACCCTCCCAGCCCCAACAGATCTGATCAACAGCAGCTAGATGTGTGTTGAGGGAGAGCACAGCTTTGAGATGCTGTTGGACGTCTCTGGGATGAAGAGGGCTGCTTCCTTGCAGCCATAACTTCACACTTGGCAGCTTTTCTTTTGCACAGGGAAGGTTAACTTGGCCCTTTTGAAAGCTAGAGGCATTTTCTTATCAATAAAATCTCAGACTTATAGAGGGTGGAAATACCCCTTGAACAGAGAGATGTGTTTGAGATCCTGGGGCTAGCGGTTGAAAGGAGGCACTGGGGAAGAAGACATCTTCTCCTGATGCTGCTGGGCTTCATAGCTTGGGCAGCTTAGAGTGTTTAACTATCTGTAGCTTCATCTTCCAAGGGAAGGCACTTGATAGGTGTGATCTGACAGTTTCAGGTGATACCTCCTTAATTCTGCTGGCACATCTAAAGCGTTCGGAAATTATTTGGAGGCGGAGAAGAAAAAGATGGTGGGGGGCAACACCTAGAGCAGCTCACCCTTGCAAGAGCACCTTGTGGAGGTCATGAGCACATCCCAGTGATCCCAGCAGAGAGACCTCTCCAAAGCCCTGCCTGCTTGCTCTGTGGGAGCGTGGGCTCCTGGAGGAGCAAACTCTTCCTTCATCCCACGCCGGGTATCCCTCGGGGCACACGTTGGCCTCTGTCCCCTCCTGCCCTTGCCAGCTGGACTGTGTGGCCAACAGATTCCTTTGGAGTTGGCAAATACAACTCCCTTGAAGCAGTCTGAGATATAATGAAATACTTGTAGTCTGCAAGTGTTGAAGCAGTTCCTCTTTATGCCTTGTTCTCCCTGCTCCTGAGCGTGGCCCGTTTCATGCAGCCCATGTAAGACAAGAGCCCCAACCAGCCAAGCAGGGGGATGGAGGTAGTGGCAGGAACCTCTCAGTTTCTTGCCCAATTTCTCTCTTCTTTTGCAGAAGAGTGGGCTGGGGAGTGCCCATCTCCTCCACTCTGAACTGCTCTCTGAAAGACTTCTTTAAAACACCACCACACGCAGACACCTTCTGCGGCCTCTTCTGGTGTTCCCTCTGAGGAAGGATTTTTCTTGTGCCAGCAAATAAGGAATTAGTTCAATATTCATGGCTGATATTCTGCTGGACAACTGTCACGTACCACAGGAGTTTTAATTCAGATGGAAAATGGGAGATGATATAAAGATGGTATCAGAGGGCCTTTCTCAGATGTGGAAAATTTGCTTCGTCAGAAGGTGGATACTAATGAGTGTGTAATGGCCAGAGTAGAGTTCCTTTGGTTGAGCAAATAGTTTTAGGAATTAAACCAGAGCCCGTCTGATGACCTGAGACACCAGCCTGTTAGCAGAGTGTGGTACCAGGAGAGGATGAACCAGGACCAGCTGTGAGGAAGGTCTTAGAGCTACAAAAAAAATGGGTGCACAAAGTGCCTTCTCCTGCAGCGATTTGAGAACAGGGAGGCAGATAAACCCAGGGCTCAAATTCATTTGGAAGTTGACTATAGGAATTGTTGGTGTTTCTAGAAATGGATTTAGTTTTCTCTGCAGGTCGGTGCAGAGCCAGAAGAGACAGGGTTTGATTCTCTTGAAAGGGGGTATGAAAAAAAAGTGCTGAAAAAGCTCACTTTGTTTTCTTTCTCACATGCTGTTTGTGCCAAAGCTTTCCCTCCTGCTCTTCCTCTGAGACCCAGGCCTCTGCACAGCACTGTTGGTGTGACTTCACTTCCTCAACCTGGCTGGTTTCAGTGTGCTCAACTCAAAATAAAAAGCCACCACCACAAAACAAAACAAAAACCCACAAGTGGGAGAGCTACCAAAACGTTCCCGATGTCTAGTTCATCTTGCAATATTTTCAGGTTTCCTTTGGGTGCTCCTCCCAAATTCTCACCTTCAGCATCTGGGTCCTGCAGCCAAAGGGAAAGTTGATTCCTTTGGCTGGTGGATCTAATCCCACCCCACCCTGTGCAGGAATGAGTGGGTCTGGGCCCCTGGGAGCCTCCCCTGACCTTTCACACTCCTGGCTTTGGGGTTTTTTTTTTTTTGCAGTGCCAAGCAGGATTATTAGGTCAATAGTTTCTGTAATCTGCAGAGGATTACACTGGTCTGCAGCTGCTGTAAACTATAGGGGCTTTCCTTTAAATCTGTCTGCCCTCCAGAGGCTTTTAAAAAATCCTTTTCATTGGTATTTTTGCCTCCCTTTCCTCTCCCACCCCCTGAGCTCGCTGGCTGCTGTTTCAACTTGGTCCTGGAGTTTTCTCACACACCAGTTACATTGCTACAGGGCTCAGAAGGATTCCTGCACCATTCCCAGCCCAGACAGCACAACCCAGGAACGGGGATCTCGGGGAGCCCTTTGCTCCAGGCACCCCTCAGCAGGGAGCAAGGTGGGCTGCAGCCCCTCAGCCCCTGCTGCTGTCCCTGCAGGGCTTGGCTGCAAGTCACCCTGGACCCAGAAGCTTCTGCTGCTCCTGGATCCTTTTGTGAATAAGTTCAATTTTCAAAGCTTCCCCCACAAGGAGAGTGATGCTGAGTGAGTTGGGGCTGGACACTTGAATCACCCTGTTTCTCTTGGGAGAAGGAGTGGCTGTGCTCATCAAGGCTTGCTGGTTTTAAGGGCTCTCAGGACTCTGGAATAACCAGATGTCTGGCTCCCTGCTTAATGCTCAGTGGAACATGGACTTGTGTAGCTCAGTCTTGGCTGGCATGGCTTTTTCAGCTAGTGGAGAAGCATTTGGGGGGGTTTTTCTCATCCCTACATCAGCCATGCTCCAGCATCTCCCTGCCAAGCAGAGCTCTCAGATCCCAGCTGCTCGTGTGCCCTGGCACTGGTGTCACCTAAAGCTCTGCTGGGCACCTCCTGTGCCCACTTCATTGCCTCTCCTGGACTCTCCCAGCTCTCATGTACTCTTTCCACCTTTTATTGGTATAGATATTACCTAAATATAAGTAGTGAGAGGTTTGGAGGTGGTTCCTCTGAGAGTCCTGTATACACTTAGCACACCAAGTGTAGGGTCCAGGTTTCTTTTGCTGGTGGTGTTGCTTTGTTTGGGGTTTTATCACATTTTTTTTGACTCAACAGTTCCTCCCTTTGACTAGCAAGAAGGAAACTGCTGCTATAAAACCCAGACAGCTTTGTAAGGTGGTTTTCTGGTGTGACGGGCGTGTTGTGGTTCAGCCGCACCCCCTGTGAGGAGCAGAGCTGGTGTGGAGCTGGGAGGCAGCAGGATGACACCCTGCTGCTTCTCCAGGCTGAGCTGCTCTGCTTTCCAACCCCAATTTTTCAAACGTGGTTGCTGGTAAGAGCCAGGGTTGGGTCACCTCGTTGTTAGTGCTGTTCCAGCAGGCAGGAAGAGGAAGAGGGATTTTTCCAGAGGTTGTGTGCCCATGGCAGGTTGTTCCTCCCGGGATTCTGAGGCTGCTGGGAGGGGTGGCTCCAAGAGCCACCTCGGGGCAAAGTGACATCACTGGAGGGTCACTCAGAGGTGAGCTGCTGGGCGCTGGGAATTTGAGCCTCTGGGTAGGTGTTGGGGGAGCAGCAGCCAGCCAGCCCTGCGAGCACTGGGATTAGAGCAGAAATCCACGTGGCCCTCACGGCTGGCTGTCTGCCTGGCTTCCCAAATCCCCGGGGCTCACATCTGCTGGTTCCCACAGCTTGCCTGGGCACCGTGGGCAGGGTTTGCCCAGCCCTGTTCCCCAGCTCCTGCAGAGCAGACAATAGAAGGCGAAGGAAACGTGCTCAGATGCTGCCACCTACCTACAGCATCCCCAACTGCTCACTGATGGATCTTTGATGCTTTAGTGCACTACTGGCAGGTCAAATTCCCTTCAAAGATGGTTTGGGCAGGGCCAATCCTGCCTTGGGGCATGGGGTGCTGGGTTTTTTCTCTCCCATCCCTGCTCCCTGCCAGCTGCAGAAGCTGAATAAACCTGCTCAGGGTCCACAGCTGGAATCCCAGAGCTCTGTGATCCTTGGGGGTCTCTCCTTCCTCCTGAAGGCACTTTCCTGAAGGTGATCACAACAAAAGGTGTGTGTCAGCAAGCAGGCAAGAGACAGACAGGCAGTTTGCTGCATGCCTTTGAAGAAAAATAAAACTCTATCTGTCCTCCAGAAGGTTTTAAATAATGTTTTTCATTAGTGTTTTGCCTCAAATACCTCCTGTTCCTCTCAAAGGTGCTTTCTGCAATGCTCACTTGGGCTGCTTTAACCTTCTGCCAGGACCAAACTGCTCCTCCCTGGTTAAATGGCATCTGAAAGGTGCCTCTAAACATGATGTGAAAACAAATTGCCAGTATTTCTAAAGAAATAAAACGCAGGTACCAGCATAGCTCCAACATCCAGGCAGCTTTGGGGTCTCTCCAGAGCACAAGACTCCACAGCCTCTCTGGGTAGCCTGCTCCAGGCTCTGCCACCCTCATGGGAAAGAAGTTTTTCCTTATGGCAAACACAGCAGCATGCTCAGAGGGAATGGGAGCTGCCAGGGGATGTTTTGGGAACCCTTCTCGGGCAGCACGTGGGACGGGCGGACCCCGGACACCGCGGTATCGAGGTGCTGGGCCAGGAGGGGGGCTGGTGGCTGGGTGCAAGGCAGCGTGGGCCAGGAAGGACGTTGGGCACAGATCAGCCCAAGGTTTGTGGGTGGCTGAGGACGATTCCCTCCCCCCTTTCTCTCTTCCTGTTTATACCAAGACACGGCAGCTCGGGCCCCCTGCCGCAGCACGGCGCAGGAAGCAGGCGAGCGCCACGCTCTTCAAGAGGAGGCAACTTTTGGCTCAGCATCTTTTCTCCCCCCCTTTTCCCAGGTGTGGCAGATCCCTGAGAACGGCCTCACCCTGTCCCTGACGGAGCCAGTGGTGGTGTTGGAAGGACACTCCAAGAGGGTGGGCATCGTGGCCTGGCACCCGACGGCGCGCAACGTGCTGCTCAGCGCAGGTAGGGAGCCCCGGGGCTGGGGGGGGACCCCCAGGCACCCCCACCTCACAGTTTTGCTTTGGAAAAGGCTTTACTGACTCCTTTTCCTCCTTTCCTCTCACAGATTAGGGCTGGGGCATCGCAGGATTAAGGGTTGGGAACACAGGGACACGTGACTGGCAGCCCCCTCCTTATCCTGGTCTTTTATTCAGTTTTCAGGGACAAGGAGCAGGGATTTGTTTGGAGACATGAATTATAGTATTAAAACTGTTCCAGGCTTCATTTCATCCACTGATAGCTATTTACACCTGCACTCTCCTCATCCCTGTTTTCATACACTTATATAAAAGGCCCAACTCTTTTCCTCTTTTCACTGATCCCTGCCAGGTATCCCAGAATCTGGTTGATCCTTCCACAACTTTTCATTTCCAGCATTTTCCTCATTGTCTCCTGAACTGTCTATGCAATGCAGTTCTTCTGACTGCTAAAAACCACTCACATCATTAAGGAAATAAAGTGGATAAGTCCTTCTCCATCAGCAGGGGCTGAGGCTTTCACAGCATGACCCTCAGCTGGAGTCCAGTGAAAGCAGCTGGGTGTTTTCTGTTGATATAAATGCCTCCTGAGATACCAGTTGGGTTTTGATCTGGTTTCCCCCAAGGTGCTTGGAGTTGCAGACCTTGTGGCAGTTAATGTGGTGAAACTCAATGTGAGAGCACACAAGAGGAGGTGATTTTTCTTAGGTAGCTTCCTCAGAATCCTGTGCTCAAAAGCAGCAAGATGTCCATGTCCATGTCTGGCCAGCATTACTCCTAAGAAACACAGAGGAGAAGGGGTGCTGGCAGGTCACTGCAGCCTCCAGGGTTCCTCCTGGTGACAACAAGCTGATTTTGGGTTTCTTTGATGCCTTTGGGAGTTCAGAGTGATTGTGTTAAATGTTTTCACCTTTCTGGAGCCTCAGGAGGAATTTCTCAGGCACACATTGTGTTTCCTTCACCTGGTCTTCCAGTCCTGCTCTTTATTTTGCTGTTATCTTATCCTAGGCTGTATTCTGTGTCTCCTTGCTGCCTGGTCCTTGAACAAAAGCACCCACCTGAGGATTGTAGTCCTTGTGAAACTGCTGACCTCAGCTTTTGCTGCCTGCCAGTCTTTTTAACTTTTATTCTGCCATTCCTCCTGCTGTCACTTGCCTGTGTCCCATCCATTCTGCTTTTACTCTTTCTGCCACCCATCTCTCTGAGCTGTGAAGGCAATGACAGGCTGCCAGCCAATATTCTCACCTACACAGTTGTAAGAACATTGCCTCTTTGGCATCTCCTGCACTCTGGTCCTTCAGTTGAACCAAGACCCCAGAGCTCCTGCACAAAGCTCCTGTGGTAGCAAGACCAGGCCATGCTCTCCCATATCTCCTTCAGCTCCTCCTGCTTTTCCCCTTCAGCTTTTTCTCTGCTGGGGACCTCTCCTGTGCCCCCTGCCCACCTTGTCAATGCAGGCAGCACCTTGGCCCTGGTGGTGAGCAGCAGTGGGAGCAGTGTCCTCCTGCTCCCACATAAAATACCTTTGTTTGGGATAGCTGCAGCACCTCTGAGAAGGTGTTCAACACTTTCCAAGGAGGAGTTTTCTGCCTTCTCTGGCTGCTTGGTCCCTGCTCTGAGCCTGTGTTTGAGTAAGGATGTATGGCCTGGGGCTCCACACACGTGACAGTCCACGGGGTGCGTTTAAGTCATCGTCTGAGGCTTGAGAGCTGCAGCAGGTTTTAATCCTTGTCCCCTGCTACTCTCCTTTTATTTTTCTGTGTGGACCAGCATTGTGACTTCAACTGTTTCTCTTTTTTAGGCTGTGACAATGCCATCATCATCTGGAATGTGGGAACGGGTGAAGCCCTCATTAACCTGGATGACATGCACGTGGATATGATTTACAACGTCAGCTGGAATCGCAATGGCAGCCTGATCTGTACAGCTTCCAAAGACAAAAAAGTCCGAGTCATTGACCCTAGGAAACAAGAAATTGTTGCTGTAAGTTTGCATGATGATTAAAGAAGCAATTGAGTCTCACCCCAGCAGAGAATTAAGAGCATGTAAAGAAAGAACCTTTCTTCCTTCATGGGTATCGACTTCAGCGGCGTTTTTCAAAATGAGGAAAAAATTGCAGGGGGAAGAGCAGCAGTTGAAGGATTTGTCTGGGTTTACTGGGATTAGTGTTTGAACTAGGATTTTCGGGCTCAGTTTTAAAACCTGCAGGAGAGTAATTCCACATCTAATCCTTCTGTATAATTGCAGCTCCAAAGTTGTGCATGCGAAGCGGAAATTCGGCAGCCTGCAGACGTCAGGGCTTGCAAAGGAGTCTTCAGGGTGGGGGGGGGGGAGTCTGATAGGCAAACCTGAAACGAGCCTGGGATGACCCCTCCTTTTGTAGTTTACTAATTAGTGTCTTCTCTCAAGCATCAGGCAAAAACAGTTGGGATGTTGCTCCACGCAGTCAGCGTCCCGCGTGGAGGAGAAACGCCAGGGATTCTGTGCAGCCAGGAGAGAAGCCACCACAGAGTGGGTTTCCTGTGCCTTGCTGAAGGCTGAGCTGTAAATCTCTTGCAGGAGAAAGAGAAGACCCATGAGGGAGCCCGGCCCATGCGAGCCATCTTCCTTGCTGATGGCAACATCTTCACGACGGGCTTCAGCCGCATGAGCGAACGGCAGCTCGCCCTCTGGAACCCAGTAAGTTCCCCTCCCCTCCCTGCCTGGCTGGCCTCACATCCCTTGAATCACTAGCCCAGACCTGCAGTCCCCCACTAAACTCATAGTTATGTTCCTCCTTCCATCTGTTGCCTGCTCCTCTGCAGGCTTCCTGTGCCAGAATCCCAGCACGGTGGGGTGGGAAGGGACCTTTGGAGATCATCTCGTCCAACCCCTCTGCTCCAGCAGCTCACCCTGTGAATTCACTCTGTGAATGTTCTCAGGAGTACAAATAAAATTGCTTTTATTGCATTTTATGATTCAAACCTCCTTGGGGGATGAGTAAGCCTGGGAGCATTAACAGTGTTTGTTACTGGAACAGACAGATCCTTCAGGGTGCTGAAGACACTCTCTCCAAAGAGCTGTTAACAATCCAGCTCTTGTGCCAACAGGAGCTTTTCCATTCTTCATGAACATCATCTTCTTATTTCCAGAAAAACATGGAGGAGCCCATAGCCCTTCATGAGATGGACACCAGCAATGGGGTCCTGCTGCCCTTCTACGATCCAGACACCAACATCATCTACTTGTGTGGCAAGGTAACCAGGAGCTTGTGGAATCACTGGGTGTGTTTCAAGGGAGATGCTGTTGAGAAGGTGATGCCCATGAAATATTCCCCGAGCCTCTCAGCTCAGAAAGGGCAGAACCAAAAAAAATGAGCCCTGCAGTGATGGTCAGGGCTGCAGACAAATTAGGCTGCTCTGAAATGGGTTTGCTCCTCACTCTGCAGGACCATGCAGAGAGCCTGTGAAGGGTTGATGGCTGACTGGGTGTTTCTTTGAGCTGGACTGACTTAGGAAAAGCTGCTCTTCGTGCAACCAGTCAGATACCACCATCAAAACATCTCTTGTTGGTGTTGACCCAAAAGATTGTAAGTTAGTGTGGGAGGAAGGTACGTTTCAGATGTCATCCTCCTCGTGCTTGAAGGTGATGGAGCATGTAGCAACACTCACTGTAGTTTTGTGGGGTTAAATAATAGAAAACTGGAATCATGTGCTCCTTCCCCAAAGCCATTTGTAGGCATTAAATGCTCTGAAGTGCCCACTTCTGATGCCACAGCTTTGGACTTGCTCCAGAAAGGAGCCAAAGAGACAATGAACCAGTAATGACAAGGAGGATCCATGCAAGTACCTTCAAGAATCTCATCTTTGTAAACAGTTCAGGAGCAAGACTTGGTTCAGATCTGCTGTTCCAGAGGTGCTGGTGTAGTAGGATTGCCTGGAATCAGGGAGAAGCTGGGCAGCCTGACACAGCCCTGGACAACCCTCAAAGGGAAGAAATTGTTCCTCAGCTCCAACCTAAACCTCCCTTGGGGCAACTTGAGGCTGTTTCCCTTGTTATATATCCCTTGTTCCTTGGGAGAAGAGCCTGATGCCCACCTGGCTCCAGCCTCCAGTCAGGGAGCTGTAGAGAGTAAGAAGGTCTCCCCTGAGACTGGTAGGCAAGGGAGGTTCTAACAGGGGGAAAAAAAATAGCTCTAACCTGAGCATTGCTCTGTGGCAGCATTCCTGGAAGGAAAGGCTGGGAGCAGGGAGCAGGCATGTGGTCCTGGGGGGGGGTGCTGGTCCCCACCAGCCCCCTGGAGTGGTTCCTCCTTTCCTTCCTGGCAGGGTGACAGCAGCATTCGCTACTTTGAGATCACGGACGAGTCCCCCTACGTTCACTACCTCAACACCTTCAGCAGCAAAGAGCCACAGAGGGGCATGGGCTTCATGCCAAAGAGGGGCCTTGATGTCAACAAGTGTGAGATTGCCAGGTGAGGAGAGGGGCTGCCAAGGGGGGGGTGCTGGTGTCATAACAGGTCACCCCCCTCACGAGCTCGGCCCTTCAGAGGTGGGGAGTGCTGCTGCTGGGTGTAGGACCCTCCTGTTGTCCAGACCTTTGCCACAGGATTGTTTCTGGGGTGTTGGTTGGGGCCTTGTGCTGGTGATGTCACCTGAGAATGGGTGAGATCTTGTAGGATAAACTGTCTGCAGCAAGCTGAGCTCAGGTTGGTTACTGCCTGCACTGTCAGCAGAGAATCACAGAGGTTGGGGTGGAAGGGACCTTAAAGATCATCCACTTCCAACCCCCTGCCATGGGCAGGGACACCTCCCACTAGAGCAGGGTGCTCAGAGCGCCCTGTCCAACCTGGCCTTGAACACTTCCAGGAATGGGACATCCACAAACTCTCTGGGCAGCCTGTTCCAGTGTCTCACCACCCTCACAGTGAAGAACTTCTTTACATCTAACCTAGGTCTGCCCTCTTTCACTTCAAAACCATTACCCCTTGTCCTGTCACTGCAAGCCCTTTGCAAAGTCTCTCCCCAGCTTTCTGACAGGCTCCCTTAAGTTTTCAGCACTACCAGAAGGTCTCCCTGGAACCTTCTCCTCTCCAAGCTGAACAACCCCAACTCTCCCAGCCCATCCTCACAGGAGAATTGTTGCAGCCCCTCTGATCCTCTTCATGGCCTCCTCTGGACCTGCTCCAACAGGTCCCCAGAGCTGAGCACAAATCCATGAGAAACATTTGGTGCCCAAGCCTGATGTCAGCATCCAGGTCATACCCAGCAAGAGGGTTGGAAGCTGGTTTCAGGAGAGCAATGAAAGCAGAGGGCTGCCCTGCTTCAGAAAAGGTGCCAAAGGAAGAGAGCAGCCCAGGCAAGCAGGGCAGGGTCACTATGGTGGCTCCTGGCACGGGCTGGATGTTGCCCCTGAAGCCTTTTGGTGCTCCTTAGATGGTTAAAGAGAGTGGGTGCCCCTGAAAAGGAGCAGAGCCTGCACTTGCCTGGAGCACACGAGTATTTCAGCCACAGTGCCCAGGCTGGGGACGTTGGAGCTTGTGGCACTGGCCCAACTCAGAGCTGCCAGGGCTGGCCAGGGGGCAGTGGGAGTGGTGAGCAGAAGGCTGGTTGGTGTGTGCCTGCAGATCTCTGCTGGGCTGCCTGTCTGGAGGGCCTGACCCACTCCTGGGTGAAGTGCCACCCTCTGAAGTCACTCAGTACCTGAGAGAGGAGCTCAGCACTCACCCAGGGGGTTTTCTCCAGCCCTTGCAGGGCCCTGTGACTCCTTAGGGCTGCTTGATTCCCATCACCTCTGTCTCTTGGTAGAGCAGCAGTACTAAGACCTTCTTTGCAGGGCGTTGGGCTGTCCTCCCATCTGAGTCCCTCCTTTTCCTTTCCCTTGAAAGGTTCTTCAAGCTCCACGAGAGGAAATGTGAGCCCATCATCATGACGGTTCCTAGAAAGGTGAGCAGTCCCTCCTGGTTGGGTGGTGTGAAGCCACCTCCTGCCTTCCCAGCCCCTAAGGGGTTTGACCAATGAATCTCTTCTGGTTTGCAGTCTGACCTCTTCCAGGATGACCTGTACCCAGATACAGCTGGCCCAGAAGCAGCTCTGGAAGCAGAGGAGTGGTTTGAGGGGAAGAACGCCGATCCCCTTCTCATCTCCTTGAAGCATGGGTACATTCCAGGCAAGAACAGGGACCTCAAGGTGGTCAAGAAGAACATACTGGACAACAAGCCTGCTGCAAACAAGAAAAGTGATCTCATAAATGCTCCAAAGAAAGCAGCTGATGCCTCAAATACTGTGAGTAAAATCCACAAGCTTTTAGGGATGGTGGCTTGAGACTTGAATACCAGATTAGAACAAAGCTTAGACATATTTGACTCAAGCACCCTGGGATTTGGGTGCCAGTGGGGGACCTGGACTTGAGGTGCTACTTGAGTTGTGGTGCTCCAGGAGAGGTTTCTGTAGCTTTGGGAGTTGTGACAAAAAGGAAAACTTGGCTCCTTGGTCCAGCCCAGGAGAGCCTCTGTGCACCTCTTTTTGTGTAAAACCCCACAGTGCTGCTGGGAACACTGGTCACAGAATCAGTTTGGTTGGAAGAGACCTTAAAGAACATCAGGTCCAACCACTCCCCCAGCCCTGCCAGGTCCCCACTGCCCCGTGTCCCTCACCCCACATCTCCACGGCTTGGAAACCCCTCCAGGGGTGGGGACTCCACCACTGCCCTGGGCAACCCTTTCACAGAAGAAATTGTTCCTCAGCTCCAACCTCAACCTCCCCTGGGGCAACCTGAGGCCATTTCCTCTTGTCTTGTTCCTTGGGAGCAGAGCCCGACCCCCCCCCTGGCTCCAGGCTCCTGTCAGGAGCTGTGCAGCGCCAGAAGGTCTCCCCTGAGCCTCCTTTGCGCCAGGCTCAGCACCCCCAGCTCCCTCAGCTGCTCCTCCCCACACTTGGCCTCTAGCCCCTTCCCCAGCAGCTCCGTTGCCCTTCTCTGACCGCTCACCTGCCCTTCCCACCTAACTCTTCTCTTCTCTTCTCTTCTCCTCCAGCAAAACGAAGCCAAATTGGACGAGATCCTGAAGGAGCTGAAGTCCATCAAGGACACCATCACGGCGCAGGACGAGCGCATCTCCAAGCTGGAGCAGCAGGTGGCCAAGATCGGAGACTGAGCGGGGCGAGCGCTGGCCCAGGCACATTCCAGCCCCCCCAGTTTGGCCAGCAGCAGCCAGCAGCATTCCAGTATGAGCTTTCCTCTTCTAAACTCACCTCAACGAGAGCTGATGATTAAAAGCCAAGCTTTTTAGTGAAAGAGATTTTTTTTTTTCTCCTCTCCCCTGATGTTTTCATGAATTTCTGTGACTGTGTCAAACGAGTCCAAAAGAATTAAGTGCTACTTTTACAGTCTTTTTTTTTTCCTTTTTGGTCGTTTATTTTTCTCCAGATGTTACAAATCCTTGAAAACAAACCCATTCTGACTCTCAATGTTGTGCCCAAATACCTTTTTGTTGTTTTTTTTATCTAGATTTAGGGACCAATGCCACATTGTTCTTAAACCATTTTTTTTTTTCTTATTTCAAGTTGCCAAAAGGAAACAAAAGAAACGTCGCTTTTGATTTTTCTGGTTTGCCACTTTTTGCAGTATTTGTGTTGGAGATGGAAAGGGACAGCACCCTGTGCTTGTGTGCGTGTGCCTGGTGGGTCTTTCTACTGCTCAGAGAACAAAAAAAACTGAAGCTTTTTGGGGTTTTTTTTTTGTACAAATCTTTCATTTTGAACGATCGGGTCGGGTTCCTGCACAGCCAGCAGGTGCTGCTGAGCCCCTTGGAGACCTTGCCAACTCCTTTTCTGCCCCAGCATCTTTGTCTGGCAGCTTAAAGGAGAAAAAAAACCATAATTCTAAATGAGGTGATTGATCACAAAATGCTTCTTCTGCTTTTTACACCCCTCCTGGAGAACTTTTAAACTAGAATCACGCTGCCCTTTGAAAACCCTTTGAAAACCCTTTGAAAACCCTTTGAGAACCATCCCACCTTTTGGATTCCCAACGCCGTGGCCGTGGGGCACGTTCTCCTTGCTGGTTTGTTTTTGATGTTGAGGCAGAGGTGACTTCCCCAGAGGAATTGTCTCTCCATTATCCATGCTGGAAGGTGTGTGGTGGGAGGTGTGACCCGGGGGACGTCGGCCGCTCCGTGGTGGCCACTCCAGCTGAAGGTGTTGCTGTAAAATCCTTGTTGCTGCCCCCCTCCCCAAACCCTCTGGCTCGGTGACTTGAAGGAAATTTGGAAATCCTTGAGCTTGCAGTTCTCAGCCCCTCACTTGAGTGCTGATGGTAGAAATTTAGACTCAGCTTCTGCAGGAGGGAGGTGACGTGATCGTGGCGGGTCTCCAGAAATAAAATGCCTCTGTTATTTTTTTTTTTTTAAATCTTATTTCTTTCCCTCACCATCATTCCTGCCCCACCACGCTGTAAAACCGTGCAGGAAATCACTTATTCCTGCATCAGATGAGTGACCTCCACCCCCAGTCCCTCCCCCCCCAACCTTTCGGAGTGGGGAGGGACTGGGGAGAGTGGTTTTGATCCCAGTTTGGAGAACTGGTTTCTTCTTTGAGATCCTCAGCAGGGTGAGACCCCCGTGAGCACTCCAAGCTGGTGAGCTCCTCAGGGAATTTGCCTCTGCCTGAGGGGGGGGCTGCCCCTGCAGGGTGACCAGGATCCGTGCCAGGCTGGATGGGTGCCACCCATCCCCGTGGTGCCAGGGGAACACTGGTGACCCATATCAAATCCAGAGGGGGGCAAAGATGAGGGGGTGGCTGAGCTTGGGGAGCCTCAGAGCCTGTGGCAGGCAGGGGTGGATCCCTGGAGCAGGTCACTGTGTGTCTGGATGTTTGTGAGGCCCCCACCCCGGGATCCGCTCGGGGTGGGGGGGACGAGTCCCTTCACCCACACTGAAGTCAGTCTGGATTGGGGTTTTTTTTCCCTTTTTTTCCATTAGGTTAGCTAGAAACCTTCAAATTGTCCATTTATTCCAGCGTTTGCATGCTGAGAACTTGCAGGTTGAGGATCCCCTGCTCTGGAGGGCTGTCTGTGAAGCACGCCAGGCTGGGGAGGCAGGAGAAGGGGCTGCGAGGGGGCACAGGGGGCATTGCATGGCATGAAAGCTTCATCCACGTGGGGTTTCCTTTGAAGTGGGGAGCACAGGGAGGGGACCAGCCTGCCCTGTGTCCCTGCCCACTGGTGCTGGAGCCACCGTGCAGGTTATTGGGATGTCTGGTGACCTTTTTGTGTTGCAGTAAGTGGCCGAGTTGACGTGTCATTTATGAGTTGGGTTGGTGGTGGTGATTTTGGAAAGCAAACCTGAACGTCCTGCTCCCTTCAAAGGGTGATCTCTGTGTCGATCTGTATGTGTGACTTCAGGGTTGTGTGCTGGGGGAACCTTTGGGGTGGTTTTTTTTTGTTTTTTTGGAAATCTAATTGAAGGGAAATAAGTTTTCTGGATTGAAAAGCCCAGAGGAGGCCCCGCTGTGTGGTAGGTGGTCCGAGGAGGGCGGAGGGAACACCGCCCTGGTTTTTAGTTTCTAGCCTGTATTTTATTTAAATGAACTGATGCCTAGCCAGGCTCAACAGGAGTCAGTGCCTGAAGCTTTTTGTAGCTGTGATATCCCAGAAGAGAACCAGCGGAGTCCTGAGAGATGCGCTCTTATAGAGCGGCCATCCTATCTGTCCAAATATTTGCTGCCATTTTCAAAAGATAAAAAGTCATTGATTATAAACTTCCTCTGGTTTGCTTTTTCTTTGACTCCCTGCGTCCCACACCCCCTGCTGCTGCCTGTAGCACTTGAGGTTTCAGCAAGAAGCAGGGTAGGAAATGATGGCGCTACCCCTACCCGCGGCCATCGAAACCTGGCGTGGGGGGTTGTGGCTGAGCTCTGGTTGAGGCTGTTTCTGTCCTCTGGGAGCATTCCACTCTCTTCTGCTCTGTCCCAGGGGAGCCAGGGCTTGTCCCTGGGGTCACACGTGGCCTCGTGGGTCATTTCCCTGAGGGTGAAGCCGAGAGCTTGGCTGGCTGCAGGACTCGCCGGGGGGGTTCTGGGGGTGGCTGGGAGGGGGGTGACGTGGTCTGTGGAAGAAAGGGGCTGCCCAGGGGCTGCCCTGGAGCTGGGGAGGGTCATCCTGCTCTTTCCCCAGCCCAGACCTGCTTCAAGGGTGCAGGAGAACCTGCAGCAGCAAAGCAAGCCCAGGCTGGAAGCGGCATCCAGGGTCCCCATCCAGGTTTGGGAGTCTGCCCCCCGGGGCCGCAGCGTGTCACCCTGAGGGTCCTGACCTCCTTCAGCTGTCTCAGGTACACCCTGATGCAGGTACAACCCACCTCTGGTACACCGTGACCCTGGCACAACCCACATCTGATACACCCTGGCACAACCCACCTCTGGTACAACCTGACCA